TTAAAGCCTGCGCGCTCCCGCTCCCCTTTGCCGCAGCGCGGAGGGGAGTGCGCGCCCTTCGGGCGCCCGTTTCACCTTGTGAAACCATTCACCCCTGCCCACGTCCCTAAAGTATCCCTTTCCCTTCCTTAACGTCTCCCGGGGCACCCGGGCCCGGGGAGTATCGCTTTTACATTAACATCGTAGGACGCAGTAGATGATGAATGCTTGTTTGTTTGACATAGAAATCCATTGAAATAGAATTTGACCCTCTCATCGTCATTACTATTCTCGTAGGTGGCTGCCTTGATTGCCTTGTTTTTTTTGAAACACGCAGCGTGCCTCTTTCAATATGCACGGCTTTCTTATTTGGTGGACCCGCTTATGTCTGCCGAAAGGGTGCAAGAGCTGGGAGAAGATTGTAGGTAGTTGCGTGTTTCAGGTAGTTGTGCGTGTGTGTGTGCATGTACCTTGCACGTACAGGTAAAGAAAGGAACTCAGTAATCGAAGATACAACATGAGAATTCATAAAGATCGGGGGCGCCGCTCCGTCATGGTAGCCCGTAGGGCGTAATGTGGAGTGGACGTGACGTAAGTAGCCGTCTACGCAGTCTCCGCCAGTACCACACACGCCGCGACGACCGTCAATGCGTTGTACGTAGTGAGGCCGTAGAAGATAAATTTCGAAGTTTCTTTTACGTCGTCATCGAGAACCTTAGAGCCCGCCTTAATCCATCTTGAGATCATCTATCCTTAAAGAATGCCTTCATATCTCCTTAGAAAGCTGCCTATCCAGGATGTCCCTCTGAAGATGGATCAGCAGAAGCCTTAAGCACCGGCGTACTCTTATCAATCAACGGGGCTTCGACGTTTTCGGCGGCGCCCCCGGACACCTTTTTCCCCTTCTTGAAGAACATTACAGCGAAGACGAGTCCAAAAATGCCAGAAACAACGTTAAACACGCGAGCTGTGATCACGGCCCCCTGGAGCAGGCCAACCTTAGACAGATCTCTCCCTAGTTCATTCCTGTGGAGACTGATCCCTCTAGAGTTGTATGCCGCAATGCCTCCTTTGTATTTGGGTGCATATGGTTGCGGGAAGATCCCTGTACAGTTCTTCCAGATGAATTAGGGGAAGCCTTAACGACTGACGCAAGCAGCACCAGAGCGCAAATCGAGGATGCTATGATCGACGCTTTGCTACCCTGCTTCAAAAACCCGTAGAGACCGCCGCAGAAAATCAACCCCGCGTCGACAACAACGAGCGCAGGAAGGAAACCCATTATTTTACTGATGTCACAGAGGTCGTATATACTTCGTTATTTTCGTAGAACTTTTGAAGAACGAATGAAACCACGTGTTCGTTCAATCGCAAATACGTAGATTGGAAAGTGTGGTCCAGGGTATTTTCTTTGGCTGCTGAAGACGCTGCTTTTCACGTCAACATACAAATCCTCACATCTCGGACGCAGAATGAACTCCGTCTTCAAACATAAACTTCAACAGAAAGAGTCAGCACGCAAATCCTCGTAGTAATATGCAAGACAGAGTATATTTTTCCATGACCATGATTATTTCAAGCTGGTTGTGGAGGTTACTTGCTGGTGGGTATGAAGGGGGCTTGGGTAACAATATACGGAGTCGAAAGAGCAGTCCTCTACGTGCTCTGGCAATCTTCTGGTTTGATATCATACTTAGCATCCAAAACGTTGACGACCGTTGACAAGTAATCTCAGACGGTAATCAGATTGTTCCTATGTATGTGGTAGTAGTGGGTAGAAGTAGGAATAGATGGAGAAGTAGTAATAAGTGTTCCAGCAGTAGCAGTGTCCATCAGCGAGTCTCTGTATTCTCTTTCATGTCATAATCATGATCATGTTCTTGATGCAACATTCTTACTTATACTTGTAGAATCATCAAAGGTGCTTTTCTTTCTTTCACGGAGTTAATATAACAGCTACCTGGTGCCGCATGATTATCTAGATAGGATATGTCACAAGCTATTGGAGAGGCTGTACGTAGTTGTAAGATCATTGATTCATATTTTAGACAGATCGATGACAGAGTCCTACTTTAGCGAAAAGAATATGTGGGACAACTATCTGTCTTACTAAGTGGACAATATCGCTTGAAAAAAAGTTATTAAGTACGCAAGAACTGCTATAATCTTGGGAGTGCCCTGTCCCAAAGAAATCCATCACATTCGCAATCGTTAGTATAAATATAATACTTATCGATCCTTATGGTATGCAAGATTTACACGACTGACTCCTCTCCCCTGCTCCACTCCTCCTAAATAATTCTATTCGGAGCTCGTGCTTGTTGTCTGCTTGTATCTCCAGGAGGCCTACTCTCGTAATTTCTGATGAAGCCGTGATGGGTCACACCCACGCCCCCGAGTGCAAACGTCTTTGAAGAGTCGCACTCGTATTGCGACGGTTGTGCCCTAGGCGCTCCTCTAGGCGCCTTGCCCCATCCACAATCGGTTTCGGCAATTACGGCTTAGGTTAGAACCTTGACAAGCCAGCATCTTCCACTGCTGTACAATAGTAGAACATCTAGTACTTCTAGTACTACTAACTTCATCTAGCAAGTACTTCTAGTACTACTAACTTCATCTAGCAAATGATTGGAGCAACAAAAAACAGCTGTAAGCTACACATGATGTGCCAGAAGCAAGATGACTTCACGTTATAAGTACCCTTAATTGAAGATCTCGCGACGCCGACGTCAGCTTCGTTGTTCCGGTAACAGATGTCGAAGGTTGTTGTTGTTGACCGGTGGGCACAGCAGCGTTGGCGGTGGTTGTGATTCTGCCTTGTTCAGCTCCAGTACCGCTATTGGCACTGTATTGTTCCAATAGTTCCATTGAAGTTGTGGCCGACATTTGCTGGGAAGCTCTAGACATGGTAGTCGATGGTCGTTGAAGGTTGACGCTGGTGGCAGCAGTCGGTGGTCTGCTCACTCCTTGACTTGCAGTTGAAGGTGGTTGCTTTGCTTCATACTGGGATACACCAGCTTTCGAAGATGACGCAAGCAGAGGTCCATTAATGGAGGCAGCAAGAGACGGCTTTTTCCCCTCTCCAAGTGTACTCGGACAAGACGAGCAAGGTGTAGTAGTTCTACTGTTTTTCGATGATTCTCTCAGTAGCTCTTTTCTCTTGGGAGTAGTGGATGGTGCGACAGAGGTCCAAACTGGATCGTGTCCTGAGGTCTCGGAAGGTATCAAGGGCATTGGCGATTCTGGAGCGCTGGTACTACCACGTGCACGAGCAGTGCTTCCTCTGCGGTTGTAACTGTTTTTAGCCGGCGTACCAGGACCGGTCATAGGCCTGTAGCCAGTGGCTGGCGTGCCAGGCATGATAGGCCTCTGTTGACAAGCTTCAAGATGTTCGTTAACCATAGCGGATTTCACGTACATACTATCTTTATTCGCTGACGCTTCTGATGCTGACGTGTCAGGTCGATAGCTGATGCCAGATGCTGCTGAAGTAAAGGAGCCAGAACCCCCTACACCTGCCGGACGAATTCTACACGTCCTCGAACTAGGAGTTGGTGGCCATGGTGAAGATTGATGTGACTGAGATTGAGACTGTCCTGGATTATAGAAATGCATGTGTTGCTGGGCTGTTGGAGATGTACCATGACCACTAGAGGACGCCAGAGGAACATCGAGAACAGGAGCACCAGCACCGATTATAGAGGTACAGGTCGCTTTACTTCCTGCTCTGCTTGCAGTGGGTGTACTAACTGTAGGCACGACCACGCCTGCGCTAGTAGTTATAGGAATTTGAGCTTGAAGATCATTGGTCGCCTTGCTATTTCCACGTGAATGGGGTAGTGCTCCGCCTCCGACTACATGTGGATTTAAAACAACAACGCCAGTTCCAGTAGCTGTCCCTGTTGTGTGCAAGTTGTAGACAAGAACTGGACCACCTAGTACATGTTGTGCTTCTCCAGTCCCAGGCGCCGCTCCTTTATGCTGGGTGATAAGTCTAAGGTCACAACTGTTACGGACAGGCCGTGAAGATGAACTTGCGAGATGTTGAGGTGAGTATGGGATAGGAAATTCTCCTTGACGTGCTCCTGTGCTGCTAGAAGATGTAGGAGTGGCTGCGTGAACCAATTCTGGTCCTGCATCGAGATCAAGGAAAAGGTGCAAGGATACTATTACCATGGGTAATATGTTGAAGAGAGTGTTGTAGTTCTTTTGCCGTGACGAGCCGAAAGCGAAGAGCATGGTTCGGGCAAGAAGTGACATTTTGCAGGCTGACTCTAGTGAAGTCTTTCGAAGAAGTGACATTTCACCAGGACAAGGGCACTGGCAATGACGAGAAGATGGTGTGCAAGAAGGATGACGAGGAATGCTGCATGTCTTTCTTTATAGGGAATATGAATAAAGAAGTCTTTTATAATTTTGCAGGACGAAAGAAGCTGATGCTTACCTCCATTCATTGAAGGCTGCAGGATGAAAAATTGAAAGACTTCTAAGTACATTTGTTGCATCCCTCAAAAATATGAAAATCACAATGCTGGGTTCTTTCACTCCGAATTTAAGGATTTTTTTGAACCGATTTTGCCTCAGAATCCTTGAGATCGTCTCGACATGAAAGTGATGGTTCTGTTCCCTTTTTAAACCAGTGCAGGGGGACGGGGACACATCCGAGTCGTCCAAGCAGAAATGCAGAACTGAACACTGGCAACACAAGCCTCAGCCACTTTTAACAGCTCGCAGAAATTGGTGTTTTTGCTTTACAGCGTTGTAGAGGGGGCTGCACTCTTTCGAACGAAACAAACGCTGGGTCCTCAAAGGTTAAGGTCACGGAAGGTGTTTTAAGTGTGCGTCTACGTACGACGAATTGAACATTTTGTTGAGGTTGACTCCTCTTTCGTTAGATTTGATTTTGGAGCAGGAGCACTGCGCCTCACGCGAGAATATGACATCATTGGATTTTGTTTTATGCACACACTCCTGCCTGTCACGATGAAGACTTCTGTTTTAGCGTGGTCCTCTACTACACTGGTTCTTTTGATCTAATTCATATTCGCGTATCCACCATAATTTTTCATTCTAGTCGAGGAATAAAATATCATCAAAATTATAACATCGAATCATCTGCATCTGTTTCACCCACACGAGCCTCACGCGATTTGCGCTGCTCTTCCTAGATCGATCCCGGCGTTTTGCATCTGGATTTCCTGGAGGACATTTCTACCTGGCGGTCGCGGCTTCTGCCATTTCGAGAGCACGTCTGCTATCACGTGTTCATTTTCGACCATCCTGCAGGTCTCAAAAGCGTCCATTGGCGGAGTCTCATTGCCGCGAGGGTTAAAGAGTGGAGGTGCTTGTTGTCGATAGCATAGTGGCTTGATGGTCATGATCTTTCATCTCTCAAAGAAGTAGGAAGTACTTAGATGACGGGGCTACTCAACGATCATGGGCTCAGTCTCTGGAGCTGTGAATCGTGTGCTGGTTCCGTGACTAGCTGAGATAACCACATCATAATATCAGCACCCCCACTTTTCGAATAGGGGTCTGCACCGTGATCGAGCAAGATCTTGATCGTGCTCGTCCTCCCTGCCTTGCACGCTACGTGGAGTGCTTCTGTCAATGTCGGCTGTCTCAGGTATGATCCGCGCAGGACGTTCAGGATCTTCAACAAACACGCTCCATTGCCATTCTTTGCGGCTACTAGGAGACCAGTCTCTAGACTGGGGAGAGAAGTCTGAAAATCGAGAAGGACAGCTAGTGCACGTTCGTCGCCTCTGATGCAGACGGTCTGGACACCTGATTTTTTCGTGGATTCGTGGATACTACTTACAAGAAGCCTCAGCATATTCAAAAAATATAGAAGAGTCAGATATGTATCATCATTGGAATCATGAGGATTGCCCTTACTACTAGTACTAGTACCTTCTTCCGGCAATGCTCCGCTTTGCAACAGCTTCCTGATAACCTCTAGGTTATCATGCTTTCGACACGCTGCATCTAGTGCCTTTCCGAGTGGAGACTTCTTTTCGTTGAGAAGGTACTCTACTATGTCGAATCGTCCCTTTTCGCTTGCTGCTTCAATAGGTAGCATGCCCTCACATGGTCCAAATGTCGCGCGGACGTCGACCGCAAGGTCCTGAGAACGGGAAGGATTTTTCAACACATTTGAAGAAAGATAGGATTATAGGACGTCTAAATCACGAAAAACATAAATCCCAAAGGTTGTGGATGAAGGACAATAACGAAGAAAAATGCATGGATGTAGTTGACCTCACGTTTTTGTAAAGTGTGGTGCTGTACTAGTCAGGCAAAAAAGCTTGCATCATAGTCGTAGGGGATTCGTAGTAGAGAAATAACGAATTTTTTAGAGACGTGGATCAACATACTTACAAGGAAGGAGTACCTTATGCTGCACCAATAGGTGATCCAAGTCTTGCAGTCTGCCACTGTGAGCCGCGTAAACGACCATGTCCGCCAGTTCTTCTGCTAGGGCACTCCCCAAAGGTCCACGATTCACAACCTTGCCTTTTCGGACCAAGGAAACTTCTACAGAAGGCGGCTCGGCTGGTGTCCATGACTCGTCGCCGCCGACGAGCAGGTGGACCTGATGAGATCGAGATCAACCTACGCACTCACGGGGACGTTGGACGAGTGATCATTCACCATCAAGACAATAGTTATCTTGAGTACTCATCTTTGCTCTTGCTGTAATATTCATCAAGGGTCATGTGCTATGTTCATCATGGGTCTGTTACTGTTTTAAAAGCAGCAAGGAAACACAATCCAGAATAATGTTGCTACCTTCTCCTTTCTGTATTCACGCAGACAGAGCTTCCCGAGATCTGGTTTCACCAGAGACTGTAATAGAAGCCTCGCAGAAGAGTCTGAGGACCTGATGGGAAATTATGACTTCGTGTCGTACAAATCATGAACAAGAAAGTAACGATGAGTCACATTGTGGCTTAGGCCATGAAAATGACGACACATCAGCATTATAACGAATATCACAATATCCTCGATCATCAAAGAAGAAAAAGTACACCACAACGCTTTCATCTAAGCCCAAAGGTTTGCAGACGCAATGTGCTGTCCTTGCCCATATTGCTGGACCAAGCTCGAGCTCTTTTCGTGCCTGTGTAACGCCTGGTGGGATACTTGGGATATTCAGAAGAAACTCGTACGAGACTTCACCATAACCGTGCAACGTGCCCCGCCACTTGGCACCTTGCCCGAAAAGCTCGCCATCGGCTAGTTGAGAATCCATGTTTCAGTGGATGGAGGGATGGACTACAGTTTCGCTTGCAACCCACTGATTTTAGTTGCAATCCATATTTCACTTTCACTGACAGTTTTGAATAACTCGGCTCAACGGACCACACTTCTGTGGTTTTTTTGACGGACCGCGCTTCTGTGGCTCTCTCTCTGACTGTAGCAGTAGCGCTCTCCTGTGCAACATCAACATCACGCCTATGTTTCCTTTTTGCCTCAATTTTTCTTTTTCCAATTTTCAACACTACTTCTCGACTTTTCGTAAGCAGCCACGAAATCATAGACAGCAGCTCTGCTCCTCATGCTCTTGGCATCGACTGCGAGGCCATACGGCTTCATTCACATACGTTACCAGATACACAGAATGGACAATATCCTTGTACTTTCCCATGTAGTAGCTACGCCCGATATACTCATTTCTTCCATATGTTGAGTTGTATCATGATGCTCTTTTCGTGTTCGTGTCCTTGTGCTAGTGCTCGGCATAGGTAAAGCTTTGAAGAGGAGAGAACAGTGCACGAAATGAGTGAGAGCTACATCTTGAGGTAACAAACCTAATCGCGTCGCCGCATCCCCATCAATGTACTATCAAAAAAACAGAGAGGGAAAGGGTGATGAATCTGTAATCGACGACTAGACAGTGTGATCAATCAACACCACGGACTTATAGTAGAGGAATGTCTGTCAGAGAGCTGGGTTAGTTGTGTTGTCTCCAGCGTCGTTAGACATTCAGAAGACCATCGTGAGAACGAACGTTTCTCATCATTCTTATAAATATATAAATGCGAAGGATACAAACGCAACATCTTCCGTACCCGATCACGTCCGTCATGAGAACAAGACCACTGATGTTTTCGCCGTCTAGAAAGGAGTCGAACGCAGTGGGGAGTGTCATCGCGACGTCACACAGCCCCTTCAGCGCTCGGACGCGGAAGGCGAAGGCGGCCTGAGCCCGTGTCAGAGTTCCCACTTGCGCAAACATGGCATCCTCGGACCGAGGCGCGCCACTTGTGTCCAGCGACGACGCGCGAGGCGTCAAGTTGCTCTTCACAGAATCCATGGCGCGCGCGGCGGTAAGCAACCAGCCCGCGTTCTCATCCCGTTTCGGAGCAAGCAAGCTTCCTTGTTCGGCACGGAAGGGCGGATCGAAGATGAAACTCGAGGCGGAGGGCAATTGGTGGTCCTGCGCCCGACTTGCTACTGCTCGCGCTTCGCGGCGCGCCGCAGATCAGATCCATTGGGAGGGTCGGCATCCACATCTCCTTCTGTCTCTCCACTTCCAAGACAAGCCGTATTCTTCGGTACCGCGGAGGAAATATCAACTTGCAAGGCGACGAGACGTTTCGCGAGCATCAAAAATTTCGAGGGACGCGAGGTGGTGAGCGGAATGCGAAGCACCCACTCCGGGATTGTGTAGAGAGAACGCGGACGACAATGTTGCTGCACTCGCCTGTTGCTGCTGCACCACAGTAGAAAACATCACCTGCGGATGTTGCGGAGCAGAGGATGAGCTTGAGCTTTGCTGGCACTCCGCGAGACGCCTCGAGATCGCGTTTCCTAAGTCTGCCTCGAACATCTCTGGATTCGTCGGAGTAAAGATGACAGCGCGGTCGACTGCGCTCAGTCCGGCATCCTTTGCGCCGTTCAAGGAGGGAACGGCGCGCGCGCTGCCTGCTCCGCCCGTCGCAGTACTGGAGTGCTGCATCACACGCGAGGACAATGTCCAGAGAACAAGCCGCTGCAATCTGACAGTAAGAATTTGTATGTTTTGAGAAGGTAGAACCGAGCTTTTGGATAGCTTGTTTGCTATCCATCGCGACATTTATGATCGAGGAAAGCTGTAGACGGTTCCGCATCGTGGAATGTCATTTTCCAGCGTTCTGTCCTAACGTTCTAGCAAAAGCTGCCTCCTTGGGTCAGGGTTAAAAAGCTCGTTTGCGGTTCAATCCTCATCCAACCAAAAGGCTGGGATCGGAGTTGGATTTCTATTTCGCTTTGTCATCACGTGGAGGCATATCGGAATGAATCGATGAACAAATTTGCAACCTTTCTTAACACTATCTAAGCGCATATTACTTCACAAAGACGATTCTCAGAACCGGGTATCTCATGCATATTACGCTACGAAAGTCTGGCGTGTTCGAAAAGACGATACAAACTACCGAGCGCCCCGCACAAAAAACGCGGAGATCGGGACATCCAATTTTCGGGTCAATCTGCGATTGCCTAGATAGAATTGACCTCGATCAGAACACCATTCATGAAGAAACAATGGCGGATCAGAGGTCACAATCGGAAGCCGGCATAACTAGCCGGGTCGCCCTCTTATTGCTTAAAGCTTCTCAAGATGGCTCTTTCTGTGTGAAAAGACGATACAAACTACCAAGTGATCCCTTTAGACGCTTTTGGTTTGGGACTATGATTCCACGGATCAAATAACGCGCAAAAATCATGGCGCTAGATCGCAGGGATCACAGGTGAGCGAGTCCGAATCTAAACTAGACCAAATTTGAAAAAAAGTTCGATCGGGCAAATTTGAAAAGTGTGCGAAAAGACGATACAAACTACCCAGGGAGGCTCACGGAAAGGAGGGCCTTTGGGGACATCAGATTTTCGACGATTCTTTACGATCGCACGCTGGATCAATACTACCCAAGAATGGAAGAAAGTAGCAGGTCTCTTGCGCGGTTTAGATCGCTGTCAGTTGCTTACCATGCATTTTCTTGTCTGTAGAGGGTGACGTTAGTGCTACTTACCACGGCAGATAGCAGGAGCTCGCCCGCGCGGCGCTTCACGTCGGTTTTCTCGCTTAGACTATTCATATTGTAGCGGAACAAAAATCTATAACTCTTACGACTACAGCTTCAACAGCTTACTCGTGCAGACTGTAAGCAGATGAGTGTAGAAGTAGCGTTTTCATTTGCAACATCATGCCTATGTTTCCTTTTCTATTGTGCCAAGTCTTCTTTTTCCAATTTTCAACACTACTTCTCGACGATTCGAAGGCAGACACTAAACCATAGACAACAGCCCTGCTGCTCATGCTCTTGGCATCGACTGCGTGGCCCTACGGCTTCATTCACATACGTTACCAGATATGTACACAGAATGGCCAATATCCTTGTGCTTGTAGTAGTTTCCCGTGTAGTAGCTACGAGCGATATACTCATTTCTCCCATATGTTGAGTTGTATCATCGTGTTCTTTTCGTGTTGGTGTCCTTGTGCTAGAACTTGGCATAGGTAAAGCTTTGAAGAGGAAAGAACAGTGCACGAAGTGGGTGAATCCTCTAGAGGTAACAAACCTAATCGCGCCGCCGGATCCCATCGCTGTACTATCAGAAAAACAGAGGGGGAGAAGGCGAGCAAATGCGAGGCGCAGATGATTCCAGATATTGCGCCCGCTAGCTACGCACGAAGACCAAGGCCCCGCCAAGTCGCTCGGCGCTCCGCATTCCCTGAATTGAATCGCTTGGCTCTTCCTTCTTGGTCTGTTGGTTCCCCGCCTGCGTTCGCCTTTCTCCTTCTCACTGTTATCGCTGAGTGATGTGAATGGGGTCAGGCCCTGAGGCTTCTGACGATGATAATCGCGACCGAGATCCTTATTCCAAAAGGAGCCCGCTTAAGATGATGCACGGCGATGATTATGGGCGGCCACTCACTGCCGCACCACCATAAGGATACGAACAACACGAAGGCGCGCGCTTTTCAGGTTGTGGATGTTACTCGGCAACACCACCACAACAACAGGGACAGGCCTGCCAGGGGCATAATATCTGGAAGGCTTCGGCCCATTACACTGATGCAGGAAGATAGGCATGTAGTTTGTTCGTATTCCCAGACTAGTTAAAAGCTACTCCCAGAGGTCAATACAATATCTTTATCTTAATATCGATAGTAGTGTAGCCGACACCTTTTCTCTATCTTGTTCTATTTGGGTTCGTGATTTTCCTCTCCTCGGACTTGTGTACTCTTTCGGACTTTCTGGCTTCGACGGCACACGACTCTTCGTAGATGAGCCTAGTTTGGTTGATGAATGATGGAGGATTGAAGATATCCTAACTACAAGTAGACTCCTTAAAATTTTTTTGTCTTAAAGTATTCGTCAATGAAGGATGTTCTGACTGTTTTCTTGCTTATTTTTAAAAAATACAGAATAGTACTGTTATAAAACATACCAACTGCTCCGTTGGTGCTTCCTTGTTTGACCGGTATCGTCGTTCTTGGTGGCGATGGAAGGTCCGGTTTAGCTGTAGCTGATGTAGGTTGACGAGGCAGTTGTGCTGCGTCGGTTTTCGACGGTATTGCCGGTGTACTAGATGGACGTGACGACTTTGGTGTGCCTGTCTTCGACGACGACGACGGCTTAGGTGATAAAGCTTGACCACGTAGAGATTCTGGTCGTATGCTTGTCTTCGACGACGACGACGGCTTAGGTGATACAGCTTGACCACGTAGAGATTCTGGTCGTATGCTTGTCTTCGACGACGACGACGGTTTAGGTGATACAGCTTGACCACGTAGAGATTCTGGTCGTATGCTTGTCTTCGACGACGACGACGGTTTAGGTGATACAGCTTGACCACGTAGAGATTCTGGTCGTATGCTTGTCTCCGACGACGACGACGACTGTTGAGGTGGTGTGCGTTGACCACGTGGAGATTCTGGTTTGCTTGTCGGTCTGGCTGCTTCTGCATCTTTCGGCTGAACAGATGCCTTTGACCCTGACTTAGACGACATCTCCTTTCTTGTCACACGCTGCAATAAAGAAGTGGTGCTACTAGTTCTTTCAGCTTGTTCTACGAGGCTCCTTTTGTTTGTGAAGAACGCACGACTAGTACGCATCTCAGATTCATCCTCTAATGACGTTGCGCTCCTTATTAGAGGGAGTTGTGTGAATCAATCTCAAGAACCTACTTACTCAGCTTCATTTGAAAATCTGTAAGGCCTTAACAGAGAGCTCTTCTTTTCCGCTTTGGAGCCTCTTTGGGAGAGGAATCCACCTTGGCCAATATCTTGTCCTTCTTGTGGTCCTGCCTCTTCGTCTCCTCCACCTAGTGCTTCCTGTTCACCGTTGCCTTCGACACTTCTACAGCTCGTTGTTGTAGAAATACCGCATTTCTGTTGCTCCTATGATTAGAAGTTAGTACAATTATTGCCGCGTCGACGACGTCGACACAGACTTGAAGAAAGCCAACATCGCTGGCTCTGTTTCTCCTTTTTAGGAAACGAGCCAGGGGGGCTCTTGCGGAGAATGCAAATGCATCTTTCTTATTCTTCTACGGTAAAAATTGCCTTAGTAACATGATTAATAGCATGTTCGCCCCCCTCGACGTCGTGTTGTCCTTGATCCTCCTCTTGTCCTTGTTTTCGGTCAACAGTGTTCGCCTTGCTTGCTAAAAGATGATCTTCTGGCGCTACGTTTAAGCTTTTTTCAGATGTTTTCCTACTCAGAAAAGTACTAGAAGGCGAAGACGGGGCAGGTGTTGCAGGAGTAGGCCCATTTTTGGTTTGTCTTCGTGGAAGGTTCCCAGCAGGACTACGATCGAGCCGCGCCAAAAACGCAGTTGTCGCAGTCGGCAAAACGCCGAGCTGGAGAAGTACTCTAGACGCAGGTCTAGTTCTGAGTCTTGACGTTAGAACTGTCCGTAATTTATCTTTCAGGTGCACCTTTGAACAGTAGGGGGGAGTATTCCCTTACGATTCAAGGATGCTCCCAAAGATGGATTAGCTACAGCCTTAATGATGAGGATGATTTGCCACCCAGAACAGAAGTAGCACGAGATCTTCGCTCTTGCGTCAGTAGAGCAACCAAGCGCTGCTCGGTCAGGTGCTCACCTCCGAGGTCAGCGTCGTCTGTGGTAGTCATGATCTATGAGTACTAGTGACTCCAGGATGACAATGGAGAGTAACTAGAGAAGTAAGCTCAAGCACATGATGGGAAACGTCAAACGTTAAGAGATCAGCTGTAGTAGTAGTTGTAGACGGATCAAATTAGTCGGAAATGATTGGTTTTTTGTATGCATGACAGCTACAGATCGGCAGAATATATTTTTCATTTTGAAACGTCTAAAGGAGAAGATGAACAGAATACCCAGGACCGAAACTGCAGGCGAGACCGAATGAAGGACGGGGATGAACAGAATACCCGGGACCGAAACTGCAGGCGAAACCGAATAAAGGACGGGTAGTGTCAGAGACACCGAGTGACATCAATAACAGCCGAGTACAATAATTGAAGGTAGGAGAAGTAGGACGCTACGTAGAGGAATGATGAACATCCGCACTAGAGCTTTAGATTTAGTTCTTCTGAAATTTACAGATGAGATGATCATCGTGATCGTGCTCATATAACACTGCTCTCGAAAATTACTGAATCGGAGCACATAAATCAAGGTTTTGCAGCACGCATTACGACGCAAAATGATAATTGAAGCTTACAAGTGATTTGGTTTTCGATATACAACAATACCAGTTCGTTGGAATGGGGACGAAGGTTGAGGGTCGACGATTTGGGGTTGCTGTCCATTCATATTTGTAAAGAATCATCGGCATCTCGTTGGAAGTGATTGTGCGGCTTGTTGTAACATCATCTCATACGCATATCAATTTCTCAACATCATCTTCCACATGGAACAACCTACCGCAAATTCTTTGTGCCATCTCACATCAATTTCTCATCTTCCACACGGCCCCAGAAGATGAGACTGATCCGTGGCCCCGCAACATGCGGTTCTAGTGGTATCGCATGCTGAAAGGCACTGTTTACTGGCGTCGTAAAAGCGAATAGATCGCCGTCGTTCTGGGGAAAGGAGAAGCTACGACCAGTCTTCAAGTGTTTAAAGGCTAGAGTTCGGGTGGCGCCTAAGGAAATGCCTATAGTTACGTTGTGGTCTTCGTCCTGCTGCTTGTTTGGAACTGGTCTTGCTTCTTTTCGTTTGGTTGTATTTGTAGAATCTGTATTTCTAGATTCTTCCCCAACAGATACAGAAGATTCTTCTCCAACAGAAAGAGCAACTTTATCTTTATCTTCTGCCTTCGAAAAGTGGTCCCGGTGCATATCAGTCGAATCTTTCCCGGAGCGGTACAAATTCGCAATGCTATACCCTACCCTCAAAGATGGGAAGCGTTTTCTTACGAGTTCATCTCGGATGAAGACGTAGGTTGGCGAGTGCTCCTCTAAGAGCTTCGGGTCAACGACTGCGGGATGCCGAGATCTGCGAAAGGGACTATCCTGAAAGAGAGGTCCGAGTTCACGCATCAGAAGGTTGAAGAGGGAAGTCCCACCACCACTCGTCTTCGTCCATGTTGAGCTAGAAGAACAGGTGGTACTAGTGGTGGCACCATTGGCAATCATTGAGCTAGCTGTTCCACAACTCGAAGATGTTGAACTCCTACTACAACTGCTGTTCGCCGCTTGCGTTTGAAGAAAACTTGGTATGTAAATGCAGCTATGGTCCAAGAATGAGGCGTCGCGGAGGAACTTCTCATGCTCAATCTGCTGAATCCTTTTAGAGGGAAGTTGAACTGTTGATGTGGCACAGAGGTTAGCTAAACTCTGTCGGTTAGCCGCCGTGTACATCTGCTCCTGTTCGTGGGCGAAATTCGACGCGAATAGCTCATTGGCGTACAATGCGCCTACTGATTGGCCTGAAGATGAATTATGTCGCTGTCCCTGTCGTGCTTGTGATTGTACTACATTCGGTTTCTGTTCCTGCTGGTCGTGTGAGTGCGAAGATAATGTTGTCTTCTTGATGGTCCCATTCCCATTTGTGGTATTGACACCTTCTGAATTTGGTGCAGCAGCAGCAGGCTCGGTATTTCGATTCGCGGCAGCATCAGTCGCACGTTTTCCCCACCTTCCGCGGACTCGAGCTTTGCTGCTCGTCTCAGCAACGACCATGTGATCTAGTACAGCCATCCTTTGAACTACAAGGGGTATGAATGGATGCGGAAAGAATTAAAATGTAGGTTTTACTTCTACGCAATCCATCCATGTAGCGATCGAGTTAATAGAAGCTGGAGGTGGAGACTGACCCCCGACAATCTTTAGAGATAATTTTTCAACAAAGAAATTCCCAACGAAACAAAACTGACTGTCATAAAAACAAAAGATGATGCCAGCTGCTGTAATGCGCCTGTATTGTTCAATCATTGATGTAATTAGACTTTTGATTGTTCTTCAGGATATCAAGTGCATGAGGATACTATGGACTTTTTTACTTATGGGAATAAAAAAATGTAATGGTGATCCCTATTTTCGTCTGAGTGAGCGAGTGGGATTTTTGGGCTTCTTGGATGCTTTATTCTAGGGAAAGATGGATCTTCTTGGTGCTTATCGTATATATTCGTACTACGTAGTTATACCATATGATCTTTTTCGTCGCTGCTCTCTAGAACTCTATGGTCTCTCCTTTTCCTGGCTCGTTGTCACTCTGATCTTTTTATCTTCAATCAGTAATTCAAGTCAAAGTTGTCTGAGGCAAAAACTACCACGCAGTAATATCATGAGCGTTATATTATGGCATCCCCAACAAGGGAAACGTATTTTTCTCTTGCTGTTCTGCTAGGTTCACACCAACTGTACCCTTTCGATACTGTGACGGACTCTTGTATGAGTATGCTCTTCTTTTCATGATATTGTTTTCAATTGCACCTTTCATTGTCTACATTTTTCTGAAGTACTTCTGAGCAATTACAACTCATAACACGGGCACAACGTGTTTTTGCAACCTGCAATAACGACAGTGCTCCTCCTCTAGCAAGAAAAGCTTACACATCCACCCTCGTTCGCTTTTTGCGCAAAATTTTGATTTTACACCATTCGTTCTTGTATCGGGTTCGGACTCGAATCGCAAACTTCCGTTTATCCCTGTTATTCATCGAGCGATGGATAATCAGTCCCAAAGGCTGCTTCAAATCTCGCGTCTTCATGCCCTGGCGCCATGAGGGTTAGAAGAAGTTAGTTATCTACAACTAAATGGATGCTGAAGTTGTTTGTAGTAGGGGTTACGGTTAGTTAGTAGTACTTACCAGTTATTTGAGAACATCGTCGAGTAATGGTGCAAGAATGGGCTCAACACTTACGCTTAACTATATTTACAGGGTTAATATCTATGTATCTGTCTAAAACAGATGGTCACCCACTTTTGACAGTCATCATCGTCTATGTCCCTGTCCTTATCAAAGCTATGCGGACACTACAATTAAGGTCCGTCTCCTTATCGTCCTTATACATAGTACTTCTGCCATAATTGGAATAGACATTTCGTGGTGGTGCTTTTTCACTCTTAGCACGCTCGCCACCACCGTGAGGATGCCGCGACGGATTCTGTGCGTTACCACGCACGCATGGTCGAATTCCTAGACGTCGGTTTACACCAGCTTTACCCTTGAACCTTGTCGGTAGAGGTAAGGAATAGTTGGGAATTTTGAGGCGAAAGATTAAACCTTGTCGGTAGAGGTGAGGATTAGTTGGAAATTTTGAGGCGAAAGATTGAACCTTGTCGGTAGAGGTAAGGAATAGTTGGGAATTTTGAGGCGAGAGAAAAAGGGTTCTTGTTGAATAGAATTTACCTACTTTCGAATAAATGATTGTGAATGCTGAGTGGGTAGTTGCAAAAGAGCAAAAGCGATACGTAGCTGCGCACTAGTACGGAAACCACAATGTTGTACCTGTGATCATGCATGATATTGCTCACTTGGCCTACACTGGCCCAACACTCATTGTGAAATTTCCGGATTTCGGTTGACGAAAGTTTCAATGTGCTGTATCGTGCACAGCGATCTAAAATCACCGCGAAGGCGCCGGCCGCACGCGCTACCTGTCCACCGCGACCAGGCTCGAATTCGACGTGGGAGTTAGAATTTCCCAGGATTTGATGTGAAGTCATACAATTTTTACAACAATGAAGAGAATTTATCACGACTCACTTCATAATATGAATCACCGAGGACACAGGTATCTTTCCCAGAGGGAGGCAATTTCCAGGAAGGATATTTGCATTTTCAGAGGCTAAGACCTGGTCCCCTGGTCTCATGGCATGTGGCGCCAGGATGTAGGAGAGGACCTGGAGATGTAGGAGAGGACCAGGATGTAGGAGAGGACCTGGTAGATCACGTTAATAAAATGCCGAACACCACTTTCCTTCTATTAGCGACGACCTGGAGATGAGGGAGGTGAAGTAGATCACGTTAATAAAATGCCGAACACCACTTTCCTTCTATTAGCGACATGGGCATAACGACCATACTAGGTCATTCTAGAATCATTCTTCAACGACGCCGTGACGGTCTTCAAAACAAAATACTAGTACTCCAACTTACCACGACACCAGTACCGCTCTTGCATCGAGCTCAATATCTCCAAGCTCATACAACATTGTACTTATAATGAATACCCCATCCTCGTATTGGACCAACGCTACGTGCGCTGAGCGTCCGGGACAGTACTCTATGCGCAAAACTGTTGCCGGAATGTCTTTCCTTCCTCGCTTGTAGTACTTAGAAAAGTGGTCGATCTAACGTTATACCATGCATAGTACTAAGCATTTGCATTTCAAACGATAAAACAAGACCATTGTCAGACTATGACAAGAAAAAGTGTACTCATCCTGCTCCGAAAATTAGGCACTTTCGCCATCAGGAGGTTCTAGCTAATTTCTTGAGTATGAGTACACTCTTTCCTTTCTTCATAGTCTGACAATGGTCCTGTTAGTGTTATATCGTTTGAAACGCTGTCACACCACCATTAACATCATTTAAGAGATGAAAGGTGAATGTTCGAAATTGTAGTGGAGTAATTCAAGGACTTATAGTTACACTAGCGCTAGCCCTTTTCTTAGGTAAGCGTAAGTCGTTGATAAGTAAGTCTTCATAGATTTCCTTAAAAGTAAGTCACACTACCGTAAAGTCAACAAGTCGCATACGTCGAGGCGCACCGCCACCTCGATGCCTGACAAGCATCTGGCCATCGACGTTTCTTCCAGCATGCTTGATATGCGGCCTAGATAGTTGTCTTACCACTCGACCAAAGGATTAGAGGATATTGCTTTCGTACGAACAAAATAGAGAAGAGGAATCCTATGTATACTAATAATTGGGCTTATCGAAAAATAGAACGCAGCTGAAAAGTATCAAGAAAAAAAGGAGACCTTTTCTGAACAGAACAGGATGAAGTGTAGGTTCCTCATTCTTGAGAAAATAAAGAGGTGCAGAGCAATTGCAATTTTTTAGCCTGTACTAGGCTCAGACTCATTACGTAGCTCCACTGAAAAAAATGCAATCGAAATGAGTAACGAGGACTAGTTTTATACCATAACGAAACGTAGTCTGGGGGTATTCTTCCAGCAGCTTAAGGAGTTTCCGCTGTTTCGTAAAAGTGAAGGGTGTGAAAACTTGCACTGGCGGAAGAGGATTGGCATTTTTGGGATAGGCGGTTTCGAAGTCCACGAATGGAACACGATTACGCTTCAGCAATGAGTAGCAGGTTGCGAATGTTCTCTGGTGTTGAAGCTGAAGGTACGTTGATGAATTACTTGAGCAGCTACTTGTCTTCTGGTAGTTCTGTTGCTGCTTCTGTTGGTGGAAAAGGACGCCACTCGCCATTGCCTGCTGTTGGTGGTAGAGGACACTACTCCTCTGATGCTGATGGTCATGTTGAAGCTGGTTGATGTTGTTGGAGACCACTCTGGTTGCAGAAGATCTGAATAAACTGCTAGTCGGAGTAGACTTTGAGTTCAAATTTCCCTGAAGAAGGTTTGTTCCCAGGCTGCTTGTCGTCCAGGGTCCTGGATTCTTGAGTTGTAGGTCTCCATGGTGCGTACTAGAGGTCGAGGAGGACGCGGGAGACGTGCCCACTCTCAGGACTTTTGCGGCAACAGCTCCTGTCGTGCAAGCAGAACGACTACAGCATACGGCTGCGGTACGAGACGAGAGCCCGGGAACAGAGGACAATGCTGTTGCTGCGGAGGACAGTGCAGCAGTGGTGGTTGTTTCTAGCATTCTTGATGGATCGAAGATGAAGATGTTGTTTTAATATTGGGTGGATAGAGTTTCAAACACAAGAAAGAACTACTCCTACTTCAATCTAAAAATTGATTCAAAAGACACAATATTTTTTGTTGTACTATTAATATCGCCAGCCTATCTTGTGGGTCCTCTACTCATCTCTCCGACAAAGTATGAATGTTGCTCCCTCGTCTCCGTTATTACGGTCGTACGCGTCACTGATCTCTCATGTTCGTGCCTATTCAAAAGTTCAGCTTCATCAGACNTCCTTCATCTCGACGTGAATCAGGCTAGCGGGAATGAACGGACCCTCATGCTCAGGACGGACTGACAGCGCGTAGGCAATCATCCGCTTCAGGTCGTAGACGCTGGCATCTTCGCGTGGCATGTCATCCAGAGCGAGCACGTCCCCAGACAACATATTTTGCACCTCGATGTTGATCCTGATCTTCATCTCATGCGCGTTTATCTCATGCGCGCTCGTATTTTTTCCGGTTGTATCCGACAGCGACATCTTGAGACGCTTTTCTTCTACTTGATCTTGATGATAGAAATGGGCTGGGGTAGTTCTTGTATCTGATCTTAAGTTTTCAATTACAACCAATGTTGACTGACACGTATTTTAACTTAATCTGTTGATTGGAATTCGAAAAGTTACAATCTAACTCGGTTTTTCTAAAAAATCAACAAAGCCCTTGTGGTCCCAAGCTCCTGCTGCGTACTCGAAGATCATGACTGACTCGCTAATATCTTGTTGGGTGTTGGGAAAATGGAACGCGGATGATATTCGCATTGGAGCCTATAGAAATTGGAATGCCCGGACTGAGAATGACTGTAGTTGCTCTGCAACAAAAATATTCGTACGATATTGATTCATTTATTCATTCACTCATGAAAAAAGAAGAGCAAAGTCCAGATGCAGGTTGTGGTTCCAATTCATCATGTGTGCATAGTTTGGGAGTGCAGTGAATATTCGAGGCAATTGTTTTTGTTTAAGTGGGGCGGAGATGAATAATTATTAAGAGAAGAGCAAACTTGAAGCCGAAGGACAAGACCAGAGGCAATTAATGGCAACAGCACTGAAAGAATCTGAAGTATTCAAAAACAACTTAGACCTCAACAGCTGACAGTGACAACTAGTCGCCACATGCTGACTTAATCTCGAGCAGTTGCATTTTTCTCCATGATTCCTCATCGCGTTTACTCTTTTGGGCAGCATTGTGAGCGACATCTTCATGGGGTCAGAGTCAATCTCCAAAACGACGCTTTTCCTGCCTGCGGGGGTTCTTCACTGCACCAAGCGCCAGGCTGGCCAGCTTGCCGACCCTTTTCACCAGCAACTTGGCCACCACTTTTGCTCCGCCTTGTCGCCTTTACTCGGTTTGAATCCGCTCAGTTTTCCTCTTTAGCTGGAGTCGCGCTTTTTCTTCACTTTGTTTTCTATTCCGATGTTTGTCGTGTAATTCTATGGGACGCATGAGCTTCTTAAGCTGTTCTATCCTTATTCAAGTCAATTTTTGCGCTTTTCAAGTATCTTCATGGGGTTATAATCAGCTAGAACAAGTCGGATCCGACCTAATGAAACTAGCCCCATTATAGGCCCAACCGCTCGGGAAAGATCTTGTTATAGATGATTGCGATTTGATTGATTTTCGATTGGCTGATTGATTCAGAGAAATGAGAAGATGTAGGTGATACAACTCATCGATCAGCGTCAAACTGTGGAAAAAAGAATAGTATCCTGCTTTTTAGGTTTTTTTTGTAGCTCGAACGCATCTGGTATGTCGTCCGATATTCGGGTTCTAATACGAAGATGCTCGCAGAAATTATCATTCTCCCGAGCGGCGTGGCCTTCGCCTCAATAAATCAAAAGAAAAGGCTGAAGCTGAACAAACTCCAGACTCAAAAGTACAATTTTTCTACCAGTTGGGACTCCTTCATTACAAGTACTTACTTACAAGAACACGGGCGATCTTCTTCTGCGCTCCAGGAGAAGAAACCGACGGGTCTTTTGCATGTGCGATTCCTGAATTTCTCCGAGGACAGGCGCAAACCGATGATGGGACGGTGAATTTTCGTACAGGCCGAGGATAGGCATCCAAGTTAAATCGTCTCCGAGGAGTCCACCTGAGATGGAGAGGCACACAGCTACGAAGAAGGGGCATTGGGAAACCAACGGCACAGAATCGTCCACAGGAGTGCCCGCCAGCTCTTCCTCCGCGATACGTTGAACGGACGCGACGCCCATGCGCTTGATGACTTCAGCGACGGCTGCTTCTTCTGCGTGCGGAAGCATCGTCCTCATGCGAGAGGCATCGAAGCCCGCTCCAACGAAGAGATCCGCCAGTTATTTTCTCGCATCAGGAAGAAATTTCATCACCACCTCAGCCGGCAAGCAGAGCACGCCACCCTCGGAATTCTGCAGTATCCGCTTCCATTCTTCCCACGAGGTGCGCACGTCATCGGCGCTAGCAAGTAATTGGTACAGCACCTCGGTCACCACGTCGGCGTCAGGATATTCCTCATTGGCCATTTCTTCGCAGAGAGTGACCGCCGAATCATACGAATCCCACCAGCGGAAAGGATTACGCTTCCAAGTATACCTTACTAATGCACCTCTCAGTTCGAGAAGCGTCGCCTTGACAGCTCGCAAATTTTTGAGAGAGAACCGGTTTAGTGGCGGCTTGACTAGGTATATAATCTTATGTGTCTTTGAACAATCGCCTCCCTTTTCTCCACTGTCATCTTCATTCTCCGGAGCTTGGCAGCATTGCTCGTCCTCCTTCAAACCAAGAAAAGACTTGAGAGAAACCGACTTGGCGCCATCCACGAAAGCTTGGATTCTTTCTCTCACCGTCAGCTCGCGCTGGTCCACTTTCGTCGTGACTTCTTGATCCTGAAGATGTTCTTCGGGTCCACGACTCGCCACACTGCCACTGTTCCCCGCTTCTTCCTCGGAAGCCTCTTCCACATCCTTCATCTCGACGTGAATCAGGCTAGCGGGAATGAACGGACCCTCATGCTCAGGACGGACTGACAGCGCGTAGGCAATCATCCGCTTCAGGTCGTAGACGCTGGCATCTTCGCGTGGCATGTCATCCAGAGCGAGCACGTCCCCAGACAACATATTTTGCACCTCGATGTTGATCCTGATCTTCATCTCATGCGCGTTTATCTCATGCGCGCTCGTATTTTTTCCGGTTGTATCCGACAGCGACATCTTGAGACGCTTTTCTTCTACTTGATCTTGATGATAGAAATGGGCTGGGGTAGTTCTTGTATCTGATCTTAAGTTTTCAATTACAACCAATGTTGACTGACACGTATTTTAACTTAATCTGTTGATTGGAATTCGAAAAGTTACAATCTAACTCGGTTTTTCTAAAAAATCAACAAAGCCCTTGTGGTCCCAAGCTCCTGCTGCGTACTCGAAGATCATGACTGACTCGCTAATATCTTGTTGGGTGTTGGGAAAATGGAACGCGGATGATATTCGCATTGGAGCCTATAGAAATTGGAATGCCCGGACTGAGAATGACTGTAGTTGCTCTGCAACAAAAATATTCGTACGATATTGATTCATTTATTCATTCACTCATGAAAAAAGAAGAGCAAAGTCCAGATGCAGGTTGTGGTTCCAATTCATCATGTGTGCATAGTTTGGGAGTGCAGTGAATATTCGAGGCAATTGTTTTTGTTTAAGTGGGGCGGAGATGAATAATTATTAAGAGAAGAGCAAACTTGAAGCCGAAGGACAAGACCAGAGGCAATTAATGGCAACAGCACTGAAAGAATCTGAAGTATTCAAAAACAACTTAGACCTCAACAGCTGACAGTGACAACTAGTCGCCACATGCTGACTTAATCTCGAGCAGTTGCATTTTTCTCCATGATTCCTCATCGCGTTTACTCTTTTGGGCAGCATTGTGAGCGACATCTTCATGGGGTCAGAGTCAATCTCCAAAACGACGCTTTTCCTGCCTGCGGGGGTTCTTCACTGCACCAAGCGCCAGGCTGGCCAGCTTGCCGACCCTTTTCACCAGCAACTTGGCCACCACTTTTGCTCCGCCTTGTCGCCTTTACTCGGTTTGAATCCGCTCAGTTTTCCTCTTTAGCTGGAGTCGCGCTTTTTCTTCACTTTGTTTTCTATTCCGATGTTTGTCGTGTAATTCTATGGGACGCATGAGCTTCTTAAGCTGTTCTATCCTTATTCAAGTCAATTTTTGCGCTTTTCAAGTATCTTCATGGGGTTATAATCAGCTAGAACAAGTCGGATCCGACCTAATGAAACTAGCCCCATTATAGGCCCAACCGCTCGGGAAAGATCTTGTTATAGATGATTGCGATTTGATTGATTTTCGATTGGCTGATTGATTCAGAGAAATGAGAAGATGTAGGTGATACAACTCATCGATCAGCGTCAAACTGTGGAAAAAAGAATAGTATCCTGCTTTTTAGGTTTTTTTTGTAGCTCGAACGCATCTGGTATGTCGTCCGATATTCGGGTTCTAATACGAAGATGCTCGCAGAAATTATCATTCTCCCGAGCGGCGTGGCCTTCGCCTCAATAAATCAAAAGAAAAGGCTGAAGCTGAACAAACTCCAGACTCAAAAGTACAATTTTTCTACCAGTTGGGACTCCTTCATTACAAGTACTTACTTACAAGAACACGGGCGATCTTCTTCTGCGCTCCAGGAGAAGAAACCGACGGGTCTTTTGCATGTGCGATTCCTGAATTTCTCCGAGGACAGGCGCAAACCGATGATGGGACGGTGAATTTTCGTACAGGCCGAGGATAGGCATCCAAGTTAAATCGTCTCCGAGGAGTCCACCTGAGATGGAGAGGCACACAGCTACGAAGAAGGGGCATTGGGAAACCAACGGCACAGAATCGTCCACAGGAGTGCCCGCCAGCTCTTCCTCCGCGATACGTTGAACGGACGCGACGCCCATGCGCTTGATGACTTCAGCGACGGCTGCTTCTTCTGCGTGCGGAAGCATCGTCCTCATGCGAGAGGCATCGAAGCCCGCTCCAACGAAGAGATCCGCCAGTTATTTTCTCGCATCAGGAAGAAATTTCATCACCACCTCAGCCGGCAAGCAGAGCACGCCACCCTCGGAATTCTGCAGTATCCGCTTCCATTCTTCCCACGAGGTGCGCACGTCATCGGCGCTAGCAAGTAATTGGTACAGCACCTCGGTCACCACGTCGGCGTCAGGATATTCCTCATTGGCCATTTCTTCGCAGAGAGTGACCGCCGAATCATACGAATCCCACCAGCGGAAAGGATTACGCTTCCAAGTATACCTTACTAATGCACCTCTCAGTTCGAGAAGCGTCGCCTTGACAGCTCGCAAATTTTTGAGAGAGAACCGGTTTAGTGGCGGCTTGACTAGGTATATAATCTTATGTGTCTTTGAACAATCGCCTCCCTTTTCTCCACTGTCATCTTCATTCTCCGGAGCTTGGCAGCATTGCTCGTCCTCCTTCAAACCAAGAAAAGACTTGAGAGAAACCGACTTGGCGCCATCCACGAAAGCTTGGATTCTTTCTCTCACCGTCAGCTCGCGCTGGTCCACTTTCGTCGTGACTTCTTGATCCTGAAGATGTTCTTCGGGTCCACGACTCGCCACACTGCCACTGTTCCCCGCTTCTTCCTCGGAAGCCTCTTCCACATCCTTCATCTCGACGTGAATCAGGCTAGCGGGAATGAACGGACCCTCATGCTCAGGACGGACTGACAGCGCGTAGGCAATCATCCGCTTCAGGTCGTAGACGCTGGCATCTTCGCGTGGCATGTCATCCAGAGCGAGCACGTCCCCAGACAACATATTTTGCACCTCGATGTTGATCCTGATCTTCATCTCATGCGCGTTTATCTCATGCGCGCTCGTATTTTTTCCGGTTGTATCCGACAGCGACATCTTGAGACGCTTTTCTTCTACTTGATCTTGATGATAGAAATGGGCTGGGGTAGTTCTTGTATCTGATCTTAAGTTTTCAATTACAACCAATGTTGACTGACACGTATTTTAACTTAATCTGTTGATTGGAATTCGAAAAGTTACAATCTAACTCGGTTTTTCTAAAAAATCAACAAAGCCCTTGTGGTCCCAAGCTCCTGCTGCGTACTCGAAGATCATGACTGACTCGCTAATATCTTGTTGGGTGTTGGGAAAATGGAACGCGGATGATATTCGCATTGGAGCCTATAGAAATTGGAATGCCCGGACTGAGAATGACTGTAGTTGCTCTGCAACAAAAATATTCGTACGATATTGATTCATTTATTCATTCACTCATGAAAAAAGAAGAGCAAAGTCCAGATGCAGGTTGTGGTTCCAATTCATCATGTGTGCATAGTTTGGGAGTGCAGTGAATATTCGAGGCAATTGTTTTTGTTTAAGTGGGGCGGAGATGAATAATTATTAAGAGAAGAGCAAACTTGAAGCCGAAGGACAAGACCAGAGGCAATTAATGGCAACAGCACTGAAAGAATCTGAAGTATTCAAAAACAACTTAGACCTCAACAGCTGACAGTGACAACTAGTCGCCACATGCTGACTTAATCTCGAGCAGTTGCATTTTTCTCCATGATTCCTCATCGCGTTTACTCTTTTGGGCAGCATTGTGAGCGACATCTTCATGGGGTCAGAGTCAATCTCCAAAACGACGCTTTTCCTGCCTGCGGGGGTTCTTCACTGCACCAAGCGCCAGGCTGGCCAGCTTGCCGACCCTTTTCACCAGCAACTTGGCCACCACTTTTGCTCCGCCTTGTCGCCTTTACTCGGTTTGAATCCGCTCAGTTTTCCTCTTTAGCTGGAGTCGCGCTTTTTCTTCACTTTGTTTTCTATTCCGATGTTTGTCGTGTAATTCTATGGGACGCATGAGCTTCTTAAGCTGTTCTATCCTTATTCAAGTCAATTTTTGCGCTTTTCAAGTATCTTCATGGGGTTATAATCAGCTAGAACAAGTCGGATCCGACCTAATGAAACTAGCCCCATTATAGGCCCAACCGCTCGGGAAAGATCTTGTTATAGATGATTGCGATTTGATTGATTTTCGATTGGCTGATTGATTCAGAGAAATGAGAAGATGTAGGTGATACAACTCATCGATCAGCGTCAAACTGTGGAAAAAAGAATAGTATCCTGCTTTTTAGGTTTTTTTTGTAGCTCGAACGCATCTGGTATGTCGTCCGATATTCGGGTTCTAATACGAAGATGCTCGCAGAAATTATCATTCTCCCGAGCGGCGTGGCCTTCGCCTCAATAAATCAAAAGAAAAGGCTGAAGCTGAACAAACTCCAGACTCAAAAGTACAATTTTTCTACCAGTTGGGACTCCTTCATTACAAGTACTTACTTACAAGAACACGGGCGATCTTCTTCTGCGCTCCAGGAGAAGAAACCGACGGGTCTTTTGCATGTGCGATTCCTGAATTTCTCCGAGGACAGGCGCAAACCGATGATGGGACGGTGAATTTTCGTACAGGCCGAGGATAGGCATCCAAGTTAAATCGTCTCCGAGGAGTCCACCTGAGATGGAGAGGCACACAGCTACGAAGAAGGGGCATTGGGAAACCAACGGCACAGAATCGTCCACAGGAGTGCCCGCCAGCTCTTCCTCCGCGATACGTTGAACGGACGCGACGCCCATGCGCTTGATGACTTCAGCGACGGCTGCTTCTTCTGCGTGCGGAAGCATCGTCCTCATGCGAGAGGCATCGAAGCCCGCTCCAACGAAGAGATCCGCCAGTTATTTTCTCGCATCAGGAAGAAATTTCATCACCACCTCAGCCGGCAAGCAGAGCACGCCACCCTCGGAATTCTGCAGTATCCGCTTCCATTCTTCCCACGAGGTGCGCACGTCATCGGCGCTAGCAAGTAATTGGTACAGCACCTCGGTCACCACGTCGGCGTCAGGATATTCCTCATTGGCCATTTCTTCGCAGAGAGTGACCGCCGAATCATACGAATCCCACCAGCGGAAAGGATTACGCTTCCAAGTATACCTTACTAATGCACCTCTCAGTTCGAGAAGCGTCGCCTTGACAGCTCGCAAATTTTTGAGAGAGAACCGGTTTAGTGGCGGCTTGACTAGGTATATAATCTTATGTGTCTTTGAACAATCGCCTCCCTTTTCTCCACTGTCATCTTCATTCTCCGGAGCTTGGCAGCATTGCTCGTCCTCCTTCAAACCAAGAAAAGACTTGAGAGAAACCGACTTGGCGCCATCCACGAAAGCTTGGATTCTTTCTCTCACCGTCAGCTCGCGCTGGTCCACTTTCGTCGTGACTTCTTGATCCTGAAGATGTTCTTCGGGTCCACGACTCGCCACACTGCCACTGTTCCCCGCTTCTTCCTCGGAAGCCTCTTCCACTTCCACATCCTTCATCTCGACGTGAATCAGGCTAGCGGGAATGAACGGACCCTCATGCTCCGGACGGACTGACAGCGCGTAGGCAATCATCCGCTTCAGGTCGTAGACGCTGGCATCTTCGCGTGGCATGTCATCCAGAGCAAGCACGTCCCCAGACAACATATTTTGCACCTCGATGTTGATCCTGATCTTCACCTCATGCGCGTTTATCTCATGCGCGCTCGTATTTTTTCCGGTTGTATCCGGCATCTTGGGACTGTTTTCTTCTTCTTGATGATAAAAATGGGCTGGGGTTCTTGTGTCTGATCTTGAGTTTTCAATTACAATCAATGTTGGCACGTATTTGAAGTTAATCTGTTGATTGGAATTCTGACAGTTATGATCCAAGTTGGTTTTTCTAAAAAATCAACAAAGCTCTACTTAATACGTTTTCGTTTCCACCTATGAAAGAACTTAAAGAAGTTACAAGATCAATTTGACGAGCACGAGGATCGCATAATTTTGGATCGTTCTTCACTCAACACAGCGATGATCTTCACCATTTTCACTGAAGTAGATCATTCGTTTTTAGGAACTGCTTGTCTTGATCGAGATCGCGACTGCTTGATCCAGGATCTTTGTTTTTGTGGGTCATGATAGTGAGACTGAGTCACTCCTTCTTCAATCTAATCGAGTCAGAAAGACGCAATATTTTCTGTTGTACTAATATCACTAGCCGATCTTATGCTTATGGGTCCCCTCATCTCTCCGACAAATTAGGACTGTTGCTCCTCACTCTCCCTTAGTACGGTCGCCCGGGTCACTGATCTCTCATGTTCGTGCCCATGCAGAAGTTCAACTTCATCAGACATGCTGATGTGCAGTCAATACCTACTGGTACTGCTAGAAGTAGACTCAATAATTGTACTAAGCTCACGGACTTGACTGATGTCACGTCGACGCACAAACGCATACTACAGAAGCCATCCTATTACGACTCAGTCTCTGCAAGTCAGATGATCTTTCCCAATCCACCACTGCTCTCGGGACAGCAGGAAGCCGCTTCATCCATTGAGTCCACCGTTCGCAGCCAACACCAAGTAAGTGCCCTATATATAACCAAGGGCAGCCTTCTACTATCAACGGGAACAAGGAAATCAATGGGTCGATATTTGTGTTGGAAATGAGTGTCAATGTTTGTCCTCTTCTCAATAAAAAACCATCTATCAACGAACTGAAAGTTTTTGGAATGGAAAGGCACAGCAACCTTCTTGGAAATGCGTAGCAACTTTCTTTAGTGAAGAGGGGTTGGGGTACTCCCATTGACTCGCTCATAACTTGTTGGGTGTTGGGAAAATGGAACGCGGATGATATTCGTATTGGAGCCTCTGTATAGAAATTGGAATTATGCCCGGACTGAGAACAACTGTTGCTCGTCTGCAACAACAATATTAGTACGATGCTGATTCATGGAAACATCGAATGCGGGTGGTCGTATTCGAGCCTGTATATTCACGAAGATACAGCTCAAGAACATCAAATTTAGTTCTCCTAAAAGTAATGGAAACAGAGCATCTTTCTCTTCTCCTTTTCTTTACGCAAAAGGCAACGGAGCATCTTTCTTTTCCGCTTGTTCCAAATTTCTCCTGTGACAGACGCAAACCGATGACGGAGCGGCGAATTTTCATACAGGCTGAGGATAGGCATCCAAGTCACATCGTCTGCAAGGAGTCTGCCTGAGATGGCGAGGCACGCAGCTACGAAGAAGGGACATAGCCGGCCCAATGGTTCTTGATCGACATGAATCATGAGAGAACGACAAGAGCGAAAGAACTGATTTCGCCTGCAGGCCAGCACTTCAGACTAGCCCACAAGCCCCGAGCGCGGAATAGATGCTGCCAATTGAAGCGTGAGAACATCCGCCGGGGCTGTAGTGTGAAGTGAAGACTTCGAAGGGAACAGCGTGGATCTATGTAACACCAAGGAGGTGGGCGCCCCCTTTGGATGGAGCGGGGGCGGCGTCCGCGCGCCCGTTTTTCCGCTGTGGTGACATGCAAAGACTGCCCGGTGCGAAAGCCTCAAAAGGCGGAGCCGGAGTCCCCTGGCGGCTCTCCACGTGCACCCCACGCACAGGCGTCCCGACTCTTGGACCCTATCAAGGGGACAGCCTCCGGGGGAGGAAAGCCTAGCCGCCGAAGGCGGCCACAGTCGCGAGGCGTGGCCCCTTTGGCGCTTATCCCCCCAATTGGTGGCAGCATCAGCCGCCACCAAACGCCCGGGGAGATAAAGACCAAAGGCGAAGAGGAGGGGGAGCAAGGCGTGCCCGCCTGGGTTCAGTCGACAACATGCAGCCCGGCGAAAGGGGTGAAGCCTTGCCACCTGCTGCCCTCAGAGGCCTCCCACCTCCCAAAGGGCTCTCCCAGTGAGGAGCCCGCACCCACGCGGGAGGTTTGTAAGATAAGTACACACAACACGGCATGGGAGGCCTGTAGGCAAGCAACACGGCAAGGGGGTCAAGCCTTGCCACCGTTGCCGCCTTCAGAAGCCTTCCATCCCCGGCCGTCGTTGCTTGAACCGCCTCAGGGGTTTGGCTTCTGTAGGGTACAAGCAAGAAGCCGCGAGGGCTCGAAGGTGGGCATTGATTTGGAGGCCTTCCCGCCCGGTAGTCCCTCGAGAAATAGGGTCCGGGGCTGGAGGCCCTCTCCTCAAAAAGTTAGATCAGAGGGCTTTCAGCCCGGAGCCCTGGAACATAAATGAGAATAATTTATAGGGGTGTCAGATCCAGGCCCCAAGAGGGGATGGATCGGATGGAACGAGTGGACTTCCCATCATTTCAGGTAGGATCGGAAGACTTAGGGGGGTCGACCCGATCCATCCGACCCATCCAAGTCCATCCTACACCCGTTCGCTAAATTATTCTAATACTTGGTGAACCAGGAGGTCGAGAATGGCAACCGCTACGGCGGTTTTGGGCAACGGCCAAGTTCCGAGGCAAGAGCACCGAGAATTGCCTGCGAAGTGAGAGGTGCCCAAGCCTGGGAGGGAAGTGTGGGAGAACCGAGAAATAGAGTACTGTGAATCGAGAACCAGAGAAAGAGAACAGAGAATCAGAGAGGAGAGTACTAGAGAAGAGAACGCGAATGGAAGCACTGCCGTGACTTGACAGCGCTGCGTGTAGGATGCGCAGCCCCCAAGTGAAGAGAAGACCGAACTACCGGCCCCGACGCTGTTCCCTTGGTCTAAGTAATCTCGCTCAAACCAGCATAAACGAATGGCGGCGCCGTCCTTGCAATCCTGGGCCCTCTCCCTCGTCCTCAGGAATCCTCGTACTCACCTCCGCCAGCTCTTCCTCCGCGATACGTTGAACGGTAGCGACACCCATGTGCTTCAGGATTTCAGCGACGTCTGCTTCCTTTCTATACAGAAGCGCCATCTTTATCTCGCTGGCCGTGACCCCTGTTCCAACGAACAGGTCCGCCAGTTCTTCCCTTGCATCAGGAAACAATGTCATCACCATTTTAAGAACCGGCGGTCTTTTGTTTGTCCACGCAAGATCTTCCAGTATCGCCCTCCACTCTTCCCACGACGTGCGCACGTCCTCGGCGTTGGCGAGTAATTGGTGCAATACCTCGGTCACAAGGTCGGCGTCATCATGTTGCGCCAGATGCATGTGTCGGCAGAGACTTACCGCCGAAGCCCACGAATCCCAGCAGCACCAACAATGCCAATCATCCTGGTCCAATT